TATAAAGATTTGAAGAAAATCTTTTGGTGGTCCGGATTAAAGAGGGATGTAGCTCAATTTGTGTATGCATGCTTAACTTGTCAAAAGTCTAAGGTGTAACATCAAAAGCCTAGTGGATTGATGCAACCGTTGAACATTCCGGAGTGGAAATGGGATAATATATCGATGAATTTTGTTACGGGATTGCCAAATACGCAAAGAGGTCATAATTCTATTTGGGTAATCGTGGATAGGCTTACTAAATCTGCTCACTTCATTCCAATTGATATTAGTTATCCTTTGGAGAAGTTAGCCGAGATTTATGTTCTTGTGGTTGTGAAGTTACATGGAGTTCCTAAGAGTATTGTATCGGATAGAGATCCTAGATTTACATTGAGGTTTTGGGAGAGTTTACAAAAGGCTTTGGGTTCTAAGCTAAGATTGAGTTCGGCTTATCATCCGCAAACGGATGGTCAAACCGAGAGGACAATTCAATCGTTGGAGGATTTATTGCGTGCTTGTGTGCTCGAGCAAGGTGGTGCTTGGGATAGTTATTTGGCTTTAATTGAGTTCACCTACAATAACAGTTTTCATTCAAGTATAAGTATGGCACCATTTGAGGCTTTGTATGGTCGGAGATGTCGAACACCTTTGTGTTGGCACAAAACAGGTGAGAGGTCGATAGTTGGACCGGAGATGGTACAACAAACGACAGAGAAAGTAAAGTTTATTCGGGAAAAGATGAAAGCTTCTCAAAGTAGACAAAAGAGCTATCATGACAAGAGAAGGAAAGATCTTGAGTTTCAAGAAGGCGACCAAGTGTTTTTTAGAGTTACACCGGTTACGGGTGTGGGTCGTGCTTTGAAGTCGAGGAAGTCGACTTCTCATTTTATTGGTCCGTATCAGATTACTACACGAGTTGGTGTTGTGGCTTACCGTGTGGCGTTGCCTCCGAATCTTTCGAATTTGCATGATGTATTCCATATTTCGCAACTTCGGAAGTATGTTCCGGATTCATCACATGTTATTCCTATGGACAAGGTTGAAGTGAGAGATAACCTTACGGTTGAAGCTTTACCGATTAAGATTTTGGACCGTGAAGTTAAGAAGCTAAGAAGCAAGGATATTACGCTTGTGAAAGTAGCGTGGGGAGGCACTTTGGAAGCCAATATGACTTGGGAACTAGAGAGTGAGATGCGAGAGTCGTATCCGGAGTTGTTTGAATCAGGTAATATTTTCGAGGACGAAAATTTCTAAAGTGGGGGAGAGTTGTAACGCCCCGATTCTGATTTCCCATTTTTGTTGAGTCTTTTATTTTATTTGGGTGGTTATTATTTTATTTGTGGAATTGGTGTGTTAATATGTTATGTTTGCATATTGTGTTATTTTATCGTTTTTGAGAGTTTTCGGAGAAATTAGGTTGGAGGGTATTTTAGATATTTCTTAATTAATGTTAAGTTAGAAATTTTATGTGAAAAAATGAATTATTAGATATTTTGTAAGAAAATGATTTATTAGATATATTGAGAGAAAAAGTAATAGAAAAGAAATAGAATAGAAAAATATAAGAGAGAAAAAGGAGAGAAAAGAGAAATAGAAGAAAGAGAAGAGAAAGAAAGAAGAAAAGAGAAGAAAAAAGAGAAAGTTTAGAAAATCATCAAGAACACTTCTAGGAATCGATTTGATCAGGTAAGGGTGTGAAATATTGTTATATTATCATTGTGTATGATTATGTATGGTTTTGTTTGGATTGTTTTAGTTGTTTTTCCACATATTTCCATTTTAGGTCGAATTGGTAAAATCGATAGAAATTGATATTTTCACGGTTAGAATTTGAAATAAATTGCGTAGTTTAGTCCAGGAATGTTAGGCCGTGACTATTGAAACTTGTTTGATTGAATTCGGGTGATTTCATTTGTGGATAATTGAGGGTTTGAGATTTGAGTGGAAATCGGACGTCGTAGAAATCATGTTTAATGGTTCTAATTCACTGCTATATGTTAGGTGAGTATGAGTATGTGTTTGTTTTAAAGGAAAGAATTGAATCGGTCGGATTTTCGGGCAAAAATGCAAAATCTCGTAGCAGTTTTTAGGCAAAATTCTGGTTTTTCGGAAAACATCAAAAATTCATATCTTTTGATCCGTAAGTCGGTTTTAGTCTCTGTTAGAAGCGTTAGAAAGCTAAAGAGATATTCTTTCTAGAAAAAATGGTTTTGATGTTAGTGTATGATCCAATTATAGCAGAAAATTCGAAACGTATCATTTTGTCAACTTTTACCGTCGTGAACGAGTGCGTTTGATGTGTTATCATACTCTATGATTTCGATATATAACGTGTATCTTGTGTGTTGTTATATGATATGTTGTGGGTAGCCGTATGACGTGAATCCTAGATTGTGGAATATATTGTGAATGTATATAGATTGTATGTGATAGAATGAGATGAATGCATGAATATATTATAAATATGTATGCATTTCAAGAGTGTCTTGAGTCATTTTGTATGTGAGGTGTGAGTGATGATTACAAACGATTGTGTGTCTATGTGAGGTGTGAGCAATCGGATTGTGTGCCTATATGAGGTGTGAGCAATCCACAAACATTGTGTGCTTATATGAGGTGTGAGCAATGGGTGAACATCGTAGGCCCGATGGGGAGTTACATTGGTAACGAGCGATGGTTCCAAAAAGTTCCTGAGTGAACTTGAGATGATGAGTCGGTACCGCATTGCGTTTGCATAGAGTCGTGAGTCGGTCTCTATGATTTGCGTTTATCATCTTTATAATTGTGCATTGGTATAAACATAAATGTATATGTTTATGTGGAATGATAAGAATTGTGAAAGCATGCATGATGAATATGTTTGGTTATATATATATATATATATATATATATATATATATATATATATATATATATATATATATATATATATATATATATATATATATATATATATATATATATATATATATATATATATATATATATATATATATATATATATATATATATATATATATATATATATATATATATATATATACACATTGTGATGTATATGAGTGAGTTGTGATTAATTGTGGTGAGAATGTAGAATATGTGTATTTTTATGCTAAGATATATAATTATATGCATTGTTGTTATGATAATATTTCTCACCCTTCTGCTGTCTTATGATGCTCTATGAGGCATTGCAGAGTAGGTATGCTGGTGGTTTTTTTTTGAAGCGCGTGTTCATTCTTTTGGTCGGTCGGCTCTGATATGTAGTATCGGGTAGCTAGGATGCATATGATTCTTTTGTGATACATTTGTATATGTATCTTGATGAATGTTTATGTAAACATGACTTATGTTGTTGAATCATACTGGATGATATATATATATGTTTGACGTTATCAATGTTTGGATTTTCCGCTTTTATTTTAAATTTTGAGATGTGGGTGCAATGACTAAGTTCCTCTGTTGCAAAGTTACCCCACTCTTGCATATCTTTTGTTGAGTAGGTGTTGTATGTTTTAATTTCAAACGTAATGACGCGCATCTTTTATACTATGTTTATAATTATACTATGATGAAATTTTTAATATGTGACAAAATAATTATGTGATTATTTTGGGGTATAGAAAAGGGGGTGTTACACTTGCTTCGCCGATTTACACTCGCCGACCTTCTCGAAATTGTCGTTATCGACACACAAATGAATCAAGAATGGGGCTTTGTAATCATTCTTCTTCTCTTCTTTGTGTGTAGCTCTTTGAATGTCGATAGTCTCTACCTCTATTGGTGTAACTCCATTGATGACGATCTCAAGCACCTCTTGGTAACCAAACAAGACTTTCATTTGTTTCGCCCATTTATCATAGTTCTTCGAATCAAGAATTGAAAGATTGGTGGGAATTCGATCGTTGGAAACGGTTGCCATTGTTGTAGCGGATTAGGATCCATAACCAATGCTCTTGATGCCAAATGTTAGAACACAAAAAAACAGATAGAAGTTTTTAAGAATGGTGGAAGATAGAAATCGGAAAGAAGATGAAATTGAGAGAAAATAATAACAGTATTGGATGAATATGAATTTTGGCATTAATTAAGAATTGGAATATACAAAAAGTATTTATACATCGAGAGAATAACAAATAAAATCTAATAATACAATTAAAGTGGCACTGCTGTTAAAATTTATTATTTGCTGAAAAACTAACCGTAGTAATCAGTAAAAAAATCAACAATAATAAAAATTTAACAACATCAACAATTTTGTATTTTATGTAAGTCAACTGACCTACTTTCTGTTTTATGTAATTTTTCTCAATTGACAGCGTATAAACTCTTATATAAATAATGTAAATCAATTAACTCTAGATTGTTAATTTGAATGAATACTATTAGTTTTGATTTATTTTAATATTGTATAAGTGAAGATAATACCCGAAACGAGTCTTCGCACGAAAAGTCTTTTGTTTTTGTTCTATACGTTGTGCTAAGTTCAACTTCCAAAGTCAATGAACAAGAATGCAAGATAAACCTTTAATTAATTTTGTTAATTCTACACCGCGCATCGTGCAGTCAATACAACTATCCTTATCAACACCTATATTCAAATTATATTAATAAACTAATACACTCTCTATATATTTTCTAATATTTATCATCTGTCAACTTATATTAAATAAAAGCGCTCTAAGTCATCAAGTAAAGCTCGTTTTTGTGAGAAAAAAATTGTTTTCACGTTTTCTATCTTTTACTGTCTTACTAATTTTACCTATCTTTTGAAATGAATAATTGAGTTCATATTTTTAAAACAATAAAAATGGCATAATATAAAATTCTATATGCAATTATGATATTTTCTTTCAATCCAGAGTGGCAGCATGAAAGAAACAATTATTGGAAGTAACGAACAAGTTACACAAGAAGACGCGCTTATCTTCCAACGTTGAACCATTCCACAGTCACACAAATATTTCTCAGTTATAAATCCAACGAAAATTCAATCATTCACATAAACACTTTCCAAAATGTATCCACCACAGGAAGGAAAGCCATCCTACAATCAGCCACAACCAGGTGCTGCCACAGGCTTTCCGGTCAGCTACAACAGCAACCCATCCACATACTCCGGCACCACATCCTCCGACTACCAGCCACCTCCTCCTCCGCCTAAGCCTATAGTTGACTGGTCCACCGGTCTTTGTGATTGCTGCTCTGACCCCGGAAAAAGTATGTCTCCCAGCTTATAGCACAAACAATTTAAAAAAATATGAGAATCTGTCTGTGTGTCTGTGTCGACGTGTTTTGATAGATCTCTATTAATTTGTTTCAGGTTGCATAACATTTTGGTGTCCATGTATTACTTTTGGCCAAGTCGCAGAAATCATCGACAAGGGATCAACTTGTAAGCCATTCATTTCTTTCTTATAACAAAATTGTGATTGTGATTCAAGTTGATGATTTTTTGTGGTTCTGCTTGCAGCATGTGGTGCTAGTGGGGCACTGTACACGTTGATTTGTTGTGTGATTGGGTGTGGTTGTTTGTATTCTTGCGTCTACCGTTCAAAGATGAGACAACAATATGGTTTGAAAGGAAATGATTGTACGGATTGTATCATTCATTGTTTCTGTGAGACTTGCGCCTTGTGTCAAGAATATCGCGAGCTCAAACACCGTGGATTCGACATGGTTATTGGTATGTCACCAACATGAATCTTTGTCGTTACATAATTTTATTTTTATTCTTGTTATGTTTATGTGTTTGATTGATCTTGTTAGGGTGGCATGGAAATGTTGAGCAACGAACTCGAGGGATAGTGATGGCTTCAAATGCCGCTACAACTACCGCTCCAACTGTGGAATTAGGCATGAGTCGTTGAAGTGAGTGAAGATCCAGATGATATGTATATGTAGTTGTTATTGAGCCAAGTGTGTTCATAATCTTTGTGTTCATCTCGAATATAATAGTATCTAAAATAAATGTGATTTGTTATCGTATTTTCAAAGATACATCGGGTGTAAAAATTTGCACTATGTTTAGTGTCATATGTAACACAAATAAAAATATTGTTAATGTTTATTATATATTAAACGGATTTGGATCTACTCTTTTTTTATATTTTATGTCATCTCTTATGTTTCTAATTTAATGGTTCAAAATTTATAATAAATAATTAAATAAAAAAATCATTTAATAGGAGAGAGAAATGGATAAGTAATTTGTCTTTTGTTTTTTTATTTAATTATTTATTATAAATTTTGAACCGTTAGATTAGAAACATAAGAGATGATATAATATATAAAAAAAGAGAGGATCTAAATCCATGTTAAACATATGACAGTTCATTTTTAATGTGTTTTACTTTTGTGTTTTTTTTACCTTTGATTTTTTTATTATTTTTCATCTTTAGTTTGATTATTTATTTATTTATTTCTACTCTTTCATATTTCTCATTAGATTTTGAGAACAATTATTTTGATTTTACGATGTTGATTTTCAAACCAAAATCTCATATATTTTTATTAAAAGTTTTTTTGATAATTCAAATGTAATCGATTAATACAAATAGTTACACGAAAATCACTTAGGAAAACATATTAATTTTTAAACCAGTTTAAATTAATATTTAAAAAGAATTAATTGTTAAATATTTAAAAAATAATTTGAAAAAAACAATTTAAATTAATATAACATTATTAATTAATTTTTTATTAAGTTATATATTAAAAAACATTTTAAAACAATTTATATAAATTTAGAAATTAAAAAACAAAAAAAAAAAAAAAACCTATTCAAAATGACGGACTCCAATTAAATGTCTATCTGTCCGTCGTACAAGATGGAGAGGACAAAAATAAATAATAAAATAGGTAGAAGAGAAAAAATATATATATTTATTTTTTTCTTTCTTCCATTTTCTTTATCCTATAGTATTTCTTTCATCAATCAAACAAAACAAAACAAAAATCAGATAGAAACACAATTGTCTTAATTTTTCTTTGAAAGACTAAAGTGAGTAGAAGTAGTGGACAAGTTGCAGAAGCATACACGCTTATAAAGTCTTCCAAAAAATTGACTTGTAAATTGAACCATTCCACACTCACAATTGATTCAACAAAGTATAACACCCTTAATTTGTTTTGACTCATTCATTCATTTTTCTTCTTATTCCAATAATGTATTCACCAGTGCCAGTGGAAGGAAAACTCACAAACGCCTCCAATGGTTCACCTAAACCTCTAGTCGAATGGTCCACCGGCCTATTTGACTGCTGCTCCGACCCAGGAAACTGTAAGTAATATCTTAACATGTTATATATAAAGTTTTAAATCTCTATTTTATTTCATTGTTATGTTTAATTTGTTTCAGGTTGCAAAACATTATGGTGTCCATGTGTTACTTTTGGCCAACTTGCTGAAATCAGTGACCAGGGAACCACTTGTAAGTAAACACTTCATTTCAGAATTATCATTTTCCAGAAAACAAAATGGTACAATAATCAAACGATACTTATTATTAATGTGAGTAACTTAATAGTTTTCATGGTTTTGCAGCTTGCTGTGGGAGCTGTTCTTTGTATATGTTGTTTTGTTGTATGTGTGGGCATGGTGGCTTGTATTCCTGCTTCTACCGCTCAGAGATAAGACAGCAATACAATTTAAAAGGGAATGATTGTTTAGATTTCTGGATTCATTGTTGCTGCGAGGCTTGCGCCTTGTCTCAAGAATACCGCGAGCTTGAAAATCATGGTTTTAACTTGCTCATTGGTAAGTATATACTAATCAATTAATCATATTGTCTGATTTGAGCCATAGTTTAGTATTATTTTGATTGAACTTGGCATGGTTAGGATGGCATGGAAATGTTGAGCAACAGACTGGAGGAATAGCCATGGCTACAACAACAGCACCAACTGTGGAATCGAGCATGTATCGTTGAAGTGAATGAAAATCCATATGTATATGTTTAGAATGTGTAACTTTTAAGTTTAAACTTGATTTTTATACTGAAATTTATAGTTTAACTCTCTTTTATATAAATATATCAAACATAAATCAATTATAAATCAATTATGTCAAACTTAATTCTTCTAAAATTAATTATATCAAACTTAATTTTGTCCGCCGTCAATTTAAACACACACTTAGTCTTACTAAAATATATCATTAGTGCTTTCATTCTTAATCAACACCTATAAATTTTGTCGATTAAGTGACTTCAAAAACACTTTGGAGAGAAGTGAATTGTGGTTTTTGAAAACCTTTTATAAAAAAGATTGATTTTAACTTGGTCAATTTTAAAAAGAGAGAGATGAAGTAAAGATTTAAGCGTGGAATATAAATTGCAAGAAAATAAAATAGAAGAGTTAGGAAAGTAAACACAGAGATTTATATTTGTTTGAGAATTCCGCTATCAACTTGAACTTTTATCACAAGATTAGCCCACTACCATCTTACATCAAATTTGTACTTGGTTCAGCTTGCAACCGTTATAGAAAGGGTTAATAGGTATTTTGCCTTTGTCATACAAGCGAGTTTTGAAAATTCTCCCTGTAAAAAAAATTGAATTTGCCCCAACTATGTTAAGATTTTCCTGTTTTACCCCTTTAAGAAAGCTAATAATAAAAATTAATGACATGGCAGAGAGTGTAACACCCCGAATTTAATCGGAATATTTTAATTAATTTATTTAATTGAGAATATTCGTATTTTTGGTGTTTCGGGTGTTTTTGGTGGTTTTGAGAATTATTGAGGAATTATGCATATTGGAGTATTTATTTTGGAATAATAGTATGTAATATGGATTTATTAATATTATTATGAATTAAAATAAATATAAGAGAAATAAGGGTAAATTGGACATTATGAAGAGTTAGTAAGGGTATTATGGGAAAAGCCCAATTGTGTCGTCCAAGTCTAAGTTTGACAAAATAGAATTCTGAAGGTGGAGGATTCATTTTGGTTAACCGTGAAAAGAATGAGGTCAGAGCTTTGAGGAGGGAGAAGTGGAGGCAAAAGATTCGGAAGATCCCGAAGTTAATCGTGAAAGCTGCGAATCAGCTAAGGTATGGGTAGTATCGCATTTCATGATTTTCTATGTATGCCTTTAGATGTGTTTATGGTTGATTTATGATTTAAGGTATTTTGGGTTGACTGTGGGAAAATAGGGAATTTGATGATAAGGCTTTGAGGTTAGGGGTAATGGTATGTAACACTGAATATTAATATGAGAAAGGGAAATCTTAGGCCTTCGTGGCCAAAACCTTGGATCGTTATATGTTTGATCCTGTAGGAATAGGAATGTTCAATTGTGAGTAACTCTGATGCACTCAGAGCAATTGCAGGAAAATAGTGATTTAGGCGGTGCAAATATTGCCGAATTGGCCTAATAAACCATAGATTTTGTTTTTTTATCACCGTAAGACCTTAGAGATGATTTAGGGATGTTTTGGGGGCATTGAGGAAGCAAATCGTGTGGACTTTTGGGTTGATTTAGGTTCCGAAGCGTAACAGCGTTTTGATGTCCGTCACGACTGTTCATGTTTTCGGTCGAAATTATTTTGGACGTAACTTTTGATCCGTAAGGCCGTTTGGACCCCCGTTCGAAGCGTTGGAAAGCTAATAAACAAGGCTATAACATAGTATAGATAAGGGAATTAGTGTCCCAATATTTTTATATCTAATTATGTTTGAGAATTCAATTGGGTATATGTTCTAGTAACGAATCATGTTCTGATTCAGTGATGTCTTGATGTTTTGATGCTGCAAGTTTCCTGATGAATTACCATGGGGGTAACTGTGACAATATGATGAATTAACATGAGTAGGACTGTGAAGTTTATGTGATTGATGGGCGATAGTGTGAGGATTACCGCGAGTATAATTTGATAAATTAATATGAGATAATATGGGGTAGTATTATGAACTAATATGGGATAATATGTGATAATATGACTATGAGCTAATATGTGATTTGTACTTGATTATATGATGACATGATGTGTGGGATTAATTATTATGATGAATTATGATGATATGATGTTTGATGAATTATGATGATTTATGTGATGATGATGATTATTATGATGAATTATGTGATAACATGAGATATGATGATTTATGTGATGACGATGATTATTATGATGAGTTATGTGAGATACGATGATTTATGTGGTGATGATGATTATTATGATGAGCTATGAAGTATGAAGATGATTATTGTAACGAGTTATGATGACGTAATGTACGATGATGACTGTGTTGATGAGCTATGACGTTTGATGATGATGAATATGATGAATATGACGAATATGATGAATATGACGAATATGATGAATATGATGAATGATGATGCACCTATGATGTTATTATGAGGATGATTTGTGACGTGTGCATCATGCGTTCATGTGCATCCGGACTTCGGTTCAGGACCTCGATTACTTTGGCTTCAATCCTACTGTGCGGATGTGAAGTATTATGATGTGCTCCGGTTCTCTAGTAGAATCGATCCTATTGATGGGGATCTATGGAGGGTTGATGGCCCAGTGTCCATCGAGCTGTGATGATTGGTACCACATGCATTGAGTCTATGTTGCATTTGCATTTATGAGCCTTTGTGTATAAATCATGACGTTGTGGCCCTTGAGGCATATTTGAAGGATATCAATGTGTTGAATATAATTATGAGTAATATGTCATTTATGCATTAATTGTTATACATTGATTATTATGAACTGTTTTACTCACCCTGTCTGTTTGAATGTTACCTCCATGTGGGTAACGTGCAGATGAGCAAGTTTAGTCGTGGACGCCGTCGAGGAGTATTTCGAAGTTTTAGAGTCGTTAGCCTTTATGGTTAATTTAGAGGGTCCTGCTCTGATATGTAACATCGGGTTGGGTTCTTTGAGTTTATTGTATATCATTGGGTTATTTTACTGATGTTCCCTTATGAGGAAAACATTGAGTTATGTTTTGAGTTCCGCTGTATATGATGTTTTGATGTATTTTGAGAAAACCCGTGTGTTACAGAGTATTGACCAATTTTGTTGACTTTGAGAAATGTACGCCCTTTTGTGGCTTTTTAATGAAAGTAATATTTTACTCTGAAATCCGTGTCATTTTGTCGTAATATCTGTGGGGTAGAATAAGGGTGTTAGAGAGAGGTTTTTAAAAAAAATCAATTTTGGGAGGGGAAAATAAGTATAAATCTTTAAAGATTACATAATATTTAATAGGTTATTGATGAGTAGATTTCTAGAGGGGGCAAAACATGGAAATCTTCATATGGCAGGGGGAAATTCAAACTTTTTTTTTACAAGAGGATTTTTCAAAACTCACTTATATGACAGAGTGAAAAATACCTATTAACCCTTATAGAAATTACAATGTTATAAGAGAATGAGACTCTTGATTTACAATTACAACATGATCTTATTCATGAAACAATTACACAACTCTTACTTAAGTATTTCGCTCTCTTAAGAGAGAAGAGTATAAATTAGATTTCTTGTGTTTAGAAGTGAACATAAGATTTCCTTTATATAGGAGAATACATTTGGCCATAAAAGGAAGAAAAATGGATTGAAGTCGCTCTTTATTTGATAATCTGGAACTTTGTTTTACATGTTATTAATCAAGGAAGTTTCATTGAAGATGAACATGCTTTTGATGATGAAAACTAGTATATGATAATAACAATTAAAGTTAAGTGTAAAGTGGATAAAGATGCAACCATATCAATAAGATTTGATGAACTTAATTCTCAGATGCTGACATCTAAAAAGGAATAGAAACCAAACCTCATCTCAAAGCAAAGCTCAAGCAAGTATTCACAAGAATGAAGCATATGATTAGACTTGAAGTGTGGGAAAGCTTGCCTTGACGTATCTGAGTGAATAGCATTGTAAAATAATAAGGGCATCCTCGTAAAGTTATACGGAAAATCACACACACACACACACACACACACACACACACACACACACACACACACACACACACACACACACACACTATTTTTTAAACCTGTTTTTCTCAAGAAAATATTTCTAAAAATGCCTTTAAATTATGTCAGATGATTTGGAAACTATCAGAAATGTTCTGGGCAAGCTTTTGATCGTGCCAATCGATTTGTACTTATTATGAAACGCTTCCCCAAGAAAATAGAGTATGATCGATTTCTCGATTAACAAGAAAACTACAAAGTAAAAAAAATAGAGGAGAGAAGAGAAAGAAAATTAAAAATGGTTAAAAACTGGATTCTTGATTCAATTACACATTAACGAATAATATTTACAATTGAATCTCAAGCACACCACTTTCTCCCTTGGATTAGGACTATCAGGGAATTTATGGGGAAGTGATCACTAGTATACTAAACAATTGACTCAACAGACTGGCCCATTTCGACATGTTAAGTTAAACAACAAGTTGACATATTCATTTGCATGCAAGAACATAATTCGACTATGACATGCACATTTTCGACTTTTGTCGAACCATGAAGCTAACCTTGTAGAGGCTAGAGTTCGATCTGAATACCACATCACTTTACTCAATCAATTGGGTTAATGCAAAAATGCTCCTTAAACTATTAGGATAACATCTTAATGAGTAGTAATGACTATAGATATTTTCTTGCCTTTTAAAATAAGTCAAACAATTATCCGTCTCCTCATCATGATTAGCAACTTGTGCTTCTTTTTCGACTTCATATGGGTTATGCAATTCAGTATCACTATGTTCCACCTCAAAAAGAATATCTTCTTGTTCCATCTCTTCTCCAGAGATCTTCATACTTCGACCAACATCATCAGTTTTCTTGAAATCCATTTCATCTTCATTGAAAATGATATCTCGACTTATGATACATCTCATGTGATCTGGCTCTAGGCACCACAACCTATAAGCTCTGTCTCCTTCAGGGTATCCAAGGAACAT